AGAGAGAGAGAGAGAGAGACAGAGAGAGACAGAGAGAGAGAGAGACAGAGAGAGAGACAGAGAGAGAGAGAGAGAGAACAGATGGGGCTGGGTAACATGCCTGTCATGTAAGTAGGAGGATGGAGTTTGGATCCCCAGTGTACATATAAAAGCTGGATGCAGGCAGATTTCATTGGCCAGCCAGCCTAGCAGGATGGATGTGCTCCAGTTTCAACAAGAGACCCTATCTCCAGAAATATGGTGGAGAGCTATTGAGGAAGACACCTCATGTCTGTGCTTGTAGGCCCTCACACACAAACACATACACACACCACAGACTCACACACATACACACAAAAGAATGGCTTGGGGGTAAGGAGCAAGAACCTGGTTAATGGAGGCACAGAGAGAGTCCCAAGGGGGTCTCTGATGCCACAAAAGGCTGGTCCACTCAGTAATACCTGTCTTGAGACTCTTGGTAGAACTGGGATGGAACAGAGTCCGGTGGGGGGCACGCGGGTGGTATGCATGGATGGGTGTCTGGGGAAGACGCGACACTGCTCCTACATGTGGGAATTTCCTTCTCATTACCTGGAATCTGCTCCTGGCCCTCAGCTGTGGTCTTTCCCGTTTTCTGGGGGTGGTGCTGGGGACTTCTTAGGCCTTTCTATCGTTGCTTTCAGTTCTGCAAGAATTCCCAGAAAAGGGAGGGGGGTCATGGGGTTCCTTGTAACGGCCCCCAGCACCCATAGGGATCCCTCTTCCTTCCCTCCGCACCCTTGCTAGCCGGAGGGTCTCTAGCCCTCTCGCAGGTGACCTTTAGGGTCCTGGGGACGCGGGGGAAGGGGCTCCCTTGGGATCACACCTCCTCCCCCTGCCTGGGTGACAGTCCCTAAACTCCTGGGGGAATTCGACTCCAGGGAATGTCCTGGGGAAATCCCTGCTCAGAGACTAGCCAGAGGCAGGCGGCGATTGGGTCCAGATGACCCCACCCCTTTCCTGGGCGGAGCCCCGGACTGGAACTCTGGAGTTATGAGACTCCGCCCCTGCGCCCTGTGATCTCGGTCTGGGTCTCACCCAGCTATGGTGCGCGTTGCTCTGCTGTGTGCGCTCTGGGGCTGCCTGCTGACAGCGGTGAGTGGCTTCTGTCCCCACCCCAAGGGAGTCTGGAATTTGAGAGTGGGAGTTGGAAAGAGGAGGAGAAGAGAAGCAAGACTTCGGAGACGAGATCTTCCTAGCTGATTTTAGGGTGGGGGAGTCGAGAAGGGTGCAGAGGCTGGGCAAGGCATCCCCGACCTTGGCCAACAAATGAGGTGGGCTGCCCCCTCTCTCTCTAGGGGGTTGGGGTTCTGGGTAGTTCACAGAGGGCACCGCCTGCACAGGCGTGCCTAGATGGCTTTATCTGATGGAAACCTGTGCTTAGGGGCTGGTCACAGAGACTGGAAGGGGTTTCTAAGTGACTTGGGGGAAGGGAGGTTGGCCAGGGGAAGAGGCCGGTCTGGTCTGACCTGTTTCCTGTCCCTTTCCCGTCTATTTCCGTTGTGGACAGAGGCCCAACACTGGCCATTATCTTCTCTTTGCCAGCCAGGGCCACCTTCTTCCAGGGGATCGTGTGGGAACAAGAGCTGGGTGCAGATGCCCAGGTACTTTTTGTTAAGATGGGGGATGATTTCTAAGCCCCCCATCGTGACTAAGCCAACCTAGAGGATATCCCCTAAGGCTATGCCTCTTGAACTTAAAAATACAGGGGGCACCTGGAGGATGAGAGGAATGGCACATAGAACCCAAGAAAGCGCAAGGAGGCCAGTCTGGGTTTCTCCAGGCACCAGAATGGCTCCCACCCAGCCAAGCACATCTCCGGGATTTTCAGAAGCCTGCACTTGATTCACTTTTGGTTTAAGTGTATTTTTGTAGTTCCTCATTCTGGAGACTGGGGATCCCCTGAGTACCTGATCTGTGTCTCATCCCAGCCCATTGGGGCCTCCCCCTATATTCAAGTACTCTGGATTTCTTTTTGTTCTAGTCAGGGTCTCGTGTGTTCCAGCTGGTCTCAAATTGGCTATGTGGTCGTTTCCTATTACTGGCCTTGGGCTGGCTGCCCCAGGGATTCTCCTGTCTTGAAGATGTGCTTGATGTGGCTGCCTGGCTGGCCTTCTACAGCTAGGACAGTTAGTGGGCCAAGCACATACTGCTAATCAGCTGAGTTGAGACAGGGTCTCATGTGTGCCAGGCTGGCTTTGAACTCACAACGTAGCTGAGGATAAGCTGAACTTCTTTCTTCCATTTTGTGAGCGTACGTGGTGTGCATGTATGTGTGTATACACGTGGGGGGGTACACGTGGGTGCTCATGCACATGTATGTGAGTTCTTGTAAGGTTGATATTGAGAATCACCCTCAGATGCTCTTTCACCTTGCTTATTGAAGCAGGGACTCTCAATCAAATCCAGAGCTCTCGGATATTTATTGGCCAGTCTTGCTAGCCTGCTTGCTCTGAGGACCCCATCTCTGCCTTCTGAAATTGGAATTACGGGCGAGCCACCATTCCTATCTGACATTTACGTGGGTTGGGGGATCTGAACTCTAGTCCTCATGTTTGCTATGCAAACACTTTAACAGCTGAGCCTTTGTTTTGTTTTTAAATTTTAGGGGTTTTTTGTTTTAGTTTTTTTTTTTTTTTTTTTGAAACATGATCTCCCTGTAGTCCCAACTGGCCTGGATCTTGCTATGTAGACCAAACCAGCCTTGAATTCAAGAGATTCGCCTCCTCTGCCTCTCAAGTGCTGGAATTAAAGGTGTGAACCACCATGCCTGGTTTGACCTTGAATTTCTGGCCCTCCTGCCTCTACCTCCCTAGTTCTGAGACCACACACCCATTTTATGTGGTGCTGGGGATTGAACCTAGGGCTTCATGCATGCTAGGCAGGGACTGTACCAACCTGGCTAGTCCTCAAGATAGCCAAGAACTGTAGATTCTGGCATGTGGCCCAAACAGGAATGGCCCACAGTGTCACAAACAGGGGCAGTGAGGAAGCTGCTTTGCAAGCTTTCATTTTTACTCTTAGGGAGAAAAGATGCAAGAGTGGGAGAGGTAGGAAAGAGCCAGAGGTATGGTGGTAGGAAGTCTGGACCACTCAGGAGCCAAGTCTTCCCTTGTAACCCCCAATTTGGGCTCCAGATAAGGTCTGGGCTGACGGTAATAGCAGACACTATTTACTGGGACTGTGAACAGAACATCGCTTGTAGTCTTCATTTGATTGCCCAAATCCTGTTATAGATGATCAGAACAAGGCTTAGAAAGGGGGCTAGTCTTTTGCAAAGTCTCAGAGCTAGGCAAACAGTAGAACATGAACATGGACATGGATCTGCATCTTCCTGGCTTCTTGCTACTCATGTGGAGACAGTCTCTAAGCCATGGTCCTAAGATCAAGGACTTTCACAGCACTGGGAGTAGGGTGGGAAGGCTGATGAGGTGGTGTCTGGGGTTACACTGTTGGGGACAAAAGCCTTTTAGTTTCTTTCTCCATTTGGGGGTAAGACACATTTTGTTAAGTGATTTCCTCAGATACCCAAGCTGAATGAGGACTGCCAATTAGCGGATCCTGAACAGCCAGAGTTACCAGGGTGCTAGGCATCCAAGTAAACACCTGCCTATATGTGGTGATTAAAGCTGCCATTTCATGAGCACCTACAATGGTCCAGATGCTATTCCAGACCATGTGCATGTGTTCTTCCACATCTTCACACCCCAACCCTCAGAAAAGATACTATTATCCCAGTCTCTAGATTAGGAAACAGGGCTAAAGAGATGGCTTAGGGGGTAAGAGCACTTGCTGTTCTTCCAAAGACCTCAGTTCAGTTTGAAGTACCCACTTCCAGCAACTCACAACCACCTGTAACTCCAGCTCCAGGGTATCTGATGCTGTCTTCTGGCTTCTGTGGGTACCTGCACTCACATGTGCACATACCCACACATAAACATACAGTTGAATAAAAAGCAATCTTTACAGATGAGGAAACAGCCAAGAAAAGCGAAAATAACTAGTATGTGTTACAAAGTTGGTTGTCTGATCTCAAACCTGGGTTGTTTTTTCTTTCCCCCTCATGGTTGTTTCCAAAGTATAGGATGATTCTAAGGAATGCATGGAACTAAAAGTACAGGCTGGAGAGATGGTTCAGCAGTTAGGAGCAAGTACTGCTCTTGCAGAGGACCTGAGTTTGATTCCCAGCACCTATGTTGGGCAGCTCATGACCACCTGTAACTCCAGTTCCATGGGATCTAACACCTTCTTCTGGGCTCTTAGGGCACCTGCGCTCACATGTGTACCTAGCTACACATAGGCACACACATCTGTACATAATCAAAAATAAAGTAAATCTTAAAATAAAAAACAAAAAAACAACCAAACTCACAACACTACAAGGCTGGGAAGATTGCTCAGTGAATAAAGTGTTTGCTGCACAAACATGAGGACCTGAGTTCAAATCCCCAGAACCCATGTAAGGTAGAGCATGATAGCCCAAGTCTGTAATCCCAGTCCTCCTACAGTCAGATAGAAGGTAGAGACAAGAGGATCCCAGAGGCTTGCAGGCCCTCTAGCTTGGCATACACAGCTGCGAACAACTAAGAGACCCTGTCTCAAACACAAGGCTGTCCTCTGTGTTCCACACACTTGAACTGTGGCAAGTACATACTTGAAATCACATGACACTCATACTATACACACACATAGACACACATCATAGGCACACACACATCTCATACACATACACACATATACACATTACACACACAAAACTAAAACACATAGTTGCTTTACAGTTCTTCAAAAAATTTCATTAGAATTAATTACATATTTTAATTACAATAATTAATAGTAATTGTGTATGTGTGTACATATGTGCATGAGTGCCACAGTGGACAGAGGACAATTTTTGGGAGTCAGTTCTCTCCTTCTACCATGTGGGTCCTGAGGATCAAACTCAGGTTGTCAGGCTTGGCAGCAAGGGCTTTTATGCACTGAGCCATCTGATTAGCCCAATCCTTTTCATTTTAATTATTAAAAGTTCAAAATTACATTTATTTATTTATTTGTGTGTGCCTATGCATTGAAGTCAGAGGACAACTTTTGGGGGCTTTGTTCTCTCTTGCCACCACGTGGGTTCCAAGGATTGAACTCAGGTCGTCAGACTTGGCCTCAGGCGCTTTTACCTGCTGAACCATCTTGCTGGCCCATCCTCATTTTTTCCAAGGAGGTAGTCTCTGGAGCTAGACTATAGTTAAGTGCCTCTCAAAGACTTCCTAATCCTCCTTTTTAAACTAAAATCAAGAACAGGTCCAGAGTGGAGGACTTTCAGTGAGCCAAGCTACCAGTTTATATTTAATAGCATTGTTTTGCTTCTGTTGAATTTATTTTTAGGGTTTCCTTTAATTTATGGGAAGTGATACTGTCTCTTCTCTTGTAGCAATAACAGAAGATTTATAGTTAAAAGGAGCATGTTTAGAGCCTGGCGTGGTGGCACACGCCTCAGTCCCAGCACTTGGGAGGCAGAGGCAGGCGGATCTCTGTGAGTTCAAGGCCATCCTCGTCTACATAGTGAGTTCCAGACCAACTGGGGCTACAGGAGACCCTGTCTCAAAAAGACCAAAAAAAGGAGCATGTTTAAATTAACAAGAAGCAGTTCATAGTGTGGGTGGTACCCGGATGCTGAGGAAATGGTTTCGGTGAAATACAAGTTTATTGAGGGAAGATGTGTTGAGACCTTCCGATTCTGTCCCTGGGCAAGGGACCCAGTGTCTCTGGTGTCCAGTGTTGCCCTCTATAGAATGATTTTATCCTTCTAGCTTTACAATCCTAGCATTTTGTGAGTGAGGGGTTGGGTGAGCTGGTGGTGTGGAGCTGGGGATAGAAACCATGGTGGGGCTAGGAAGGAGGACTGGGGCCAGCTGGAGCCAGCAGCCTCACTCTGGAGTCCTCCCTTCCTGCTAGGTCTTTGGGAACACCGAGGACTCAAGCAGATCTATTCAGTTTAGAGAATTCTGAGTTCTTGCTTTATAAAGCACCAGAATGGCTCTCTGGGTGCTTTTTATAATCAGACCACTTGGCAGTTTTGGCAGAAAACAAACACTCCTTGTGACACGTGGGCTCCCTTTCCTGCTTTGGGACTCCGCATCTGCTATAGCCTCTGTCTTGGCTCACTTTCAGCATGCGTGTCAAAGAGGTGACTAGATCCCTTCCAGTTACACACTTCTGTTTTTAGGTCCATCTAGAACCAGCTACTGTATGTCAAGAAAATCAGTATTCCTTCAATGGCCGGTGCTGTGATTTGTGCCAGCCAGGTGAGATGCCAAGCCTCTAGCCCATACTGGGACCCTTTCCTCTTGGCTTGCTGACAGATGTAGACACCATGTACAAACTGTGGGTCAAGTCCGTTATGACCATTTCTCCTCTCTGCCCTGTTCTCAGAGTGCCCCAGGCTCCCTTTCTGCTGGGCAAACCTCTGCCAACTCTAACCTGGGGTCCTGCTTTTCCTTCTTCTGAGGTTATGGAGGGTCTGAGACATTCATCCCTGAGCTCTGCCCTCACCCCCACCCCCAGCCCTGGCTTGGCGTGTCTCGACACCGGTCTGATTCAGGGATTGGCCTGAGCTGCCTCATTTCCTGTTGTTTTTCAGGAAAGAAGCTGTTGAGTGAGTGCACAGAGCACACCAGAACACAATGCCTTCCTTGCAGCCAAGGCGAATTCCTAGACACCTGGAACAAGGAGACATACTGTCACCAGCACAGATACTGCGAACCCAGTGCGTGGGGCTGCTGGGAAGGGACGCAGGAGCTGGGCTGATACTCCTGACAATGCAGTCCCTCTGGTTTAGTAGCCAGGGTCTGATCTAATGAGTTGGAGTCTGGGTTGAGTCTGCGTTTTAAATGAGTTGATTGTCATTGATGCTTGGAAGACAGTCCAAGAAAGAACACGGTATGAGGAGAGGGGTTCCTGGGATGGCAGGGTTTTTCCCATCCTTCCTTCTCATCTCTGCTCAGATCAAGGGCTCCAGGTCTGGAGGGAAGGCACCTCAGAGACAGATACCACCTGTGTCTGTCAGGAAGGCCAGTACTGTATCAGCAGTGACTGTGACAGCTGTGCTCTACACACCGAGTGTGGCCTGGGCTTTGGAGTCAAGCAGATGGGTAAGTGGCCTGATTGGGGGACAGCTCTTCGAGTGGGAGAGAGGAGTTGGGGGTCAGAGGCAAGGGGCTTGGCAATGGGCATTCAGCACCAGAGGCTGAAGGGAATAGACTCCTACTGGGTTGGTATTCTCCCTCCAGTGAGCAGGAAATGAGCTCTTTTGCATTCTGGCCTTGGTTATGAGCAATTGCCTGGGGAGGGGGAGAGGAGACATCGTGCTGGGCTGCAGCCTATAAGGGGCAGTACTGCACGGGACAAGAAACCCCAAAGGCAGGAGCTCTTCCTGCCCTGCCTGTCCACTGGCTCCCTTGGGAGCCAGCATGGGGCCTGCTACAGTGACTGACGAGTTCTCCCTACCTATTCCCAGGCACAGGGAAGAATGATACCGTTTGTGAGCCCTGTCCAGTTGGTTTCTTCTCCAATGTGTCATCTGCTGTTAAAAAGTGTCAGTCTTGGACAAGGTATAAGGACTGCCCCCTCCCACAACCAAGGATGGCCCAGGCCCTGTCTCAGTCTCTTCAGCCACCTATGGCCATATCACACTCATACACTAGTGAACTGTCTGCAGAGTGACAGGGCTGGCCCAATCCCTGCATTTTTTTTTTTTTTTTGACTGCTCCTGCTTAGTGGAATAGATCCTGTTCATCTCCCATTCTTCTTGGTCTCTCTCTCTCTCTCTCTCTCTCTCTCTCTCTCTCTCTCTCCTCTCTCTCTCCCTCTTATCTTTCTGTGAAGACCAGAGCTCACCCTGGCATGTTGTTGCTCAGAAGTTACTCACCTTGTTTTTGGTGTGAGCACCAGGATCTTCCTGTCTCCACCTCCCCAACACTGGGATTATGCTCACATATGTGACTTCTGGGACTCAAACTCAAGTCCTCACACTTGCAAGACAAGCACTTGACTAACTGAGCCATCTTCCCAGCCCTCCTTGCTTCTTAATGGCTTTCCTTGGGCTTGGCCTGGGTTCTTCTGTCTTATCACTTTCCCCACCTTCCCTGGGCTGTTTCATTCACATCCATGGCCCCATCTCCCCTGGATCTGTCCTGGAGGCCCCAAACAGTCATGTAGTTACTGAATATTCACCACTGTGAGGTGACTCATCAACACCTCAAACTGTGCATCCTTCCCCCACCTGCTGCCCTCACCCGGAGCAGGCCAGTGGTGGCTCCTGACAGCCATGCACTGAGTCTCCCTCCCTGCTTCCACTTCTAATTCAGCCTCTGGTCTGTCTGCCTGGTCTGAGTGTCTTGGGAATTGACCTCCTTGTTTTCTCTATAGTGGTCACTGGAGCTTGGGCCTCATCACTGTGTGGTGTGGTGACAGTTTCATCTCCTGGGCTCCCTGCCTCTGGCATCCCCCTTGGCTAGTTTCCTATCCTCTTACCTGCGTGAGCTTCTGCAGCTCCTTTGGGTTCACAACATTTCATGATTTAAAGTGCTTCGTGGCTCTCACGGACTTTGAGAGAAAGGCCAGACTCCTTGGCATAAGGCTCGGCCTTCCGGCTGCTTCCCCAGCTCTTCCTCTTCCCCTGCCCCTGCTGTATCCTGCACTTGCACCCCTGAGCATGCTGTTCATTTTTGTCTCAAGCTCTTCTGCTGGAAGAACCCATAAACACATGCCCCATTAATTTTTTTTCCATTTAATCTAAAAATGGGCACTACCCTCCCCTATAGGCTGTTTCCTCAGTGTTCCTTGCCTCTTCTACATGTAAACAAACAAACACATGTACACACCCATATTCTTTCCCATTTAATTTTTAACACAAGTCATAGCATACTATCTACACTTGGTTCACTGTCCACTTTCCCCAGTGGAATGCAACTCCTTCAATGGAGAAATGCAACCTTTTTTTTTTTTTTTTTTTTTTACCCCTCTATCCCCTGTACTTGGAACAATGCCAGCTACAAGTAGGCACTCGTGAGTCTTTACTGCTGGGTACTGACTGATCACAGAGGTTCCTGTAAGGGAGTCAGATCTGCACCTGCTTAGCTTCCCTCCCATCACACTGCCCAACTTAGATGGTGCGTGCTGCTGCTCCAACTTTTGCATCATCCGGGGCCTTTCTAATCTCCCTTTGTGCCCCCGATCTGCCTCAGTAAGTATGGGACTCCCTGCCTCTCGTCTGGAAATGGGAATGCCCTTCCTTTCACAAGAATTTAGATGGAGACTCTAAAGGCATTTATTAAACTTCTGAGCACTTTTCTCATGCAAGGCTGAAGCGACATCTCCCAAGCCTCTCTTTCTCTCACTGTCACTGGTTTTTCTTTTGCTATGTCCTGCTCTGTCCACTTTTCCTGAGACCACCAGGATCACCCACCCCACATCTCACGCCTCCACTCCTGCTGTGCCCCTGACTGGCTGCCCGTCTGCATTGTCTCCTTCCTGAGTTGCTCCCTGGGAGCAGAGCCTCTCCCAGAGTCAGATCATCTGGTTGGGTGCTGATGAGACTCTCCAGCCACATCCATACAGACCTGTCCTGCCTGCTTCTCACCAATCTGCTTTTCCTGGCTCTCTAACAGCATCCTGAGTGTCACTCACTTGATGTTCCCTCCCCCTGCTAAGCTGGAGTACAATGCTACTCCAGCTTTTGAATCCTTCAATACCCTTCTGCTTGTCTCTCTTGGAAGAAATCAGAGCTTCTTAACAGGGGCCAGTTTGCCTTCTGTGGGACATTGGCCACCTCTGGTTGTCTTTCAGGTACCATAACTGCTGTGAGGGGACTGCTCCTGTCATCTATTGGGTGGAGGCAGGGATGCTGCTAAACACTCTGGGACGCTCAGGATGCTCCCAAACATAGAATACCCAAGCTTGAGACACCCAACCTTAGATCGAGCTCATTCTTTCTCATTCCTGTCTTGTGGGTCCTGCCTCTGAACAGCGTCCTTTATGTTTTGGCCCAATTCACGAAGTTTGGCCACATTCCTAATATTCCTCCTTCAAGACGGGCAGTAGCGTTTTCATTCACTTATAAGTTCCTGTCCTTCTCATAATAACCAACAAGGGATGCTGCCCTGTAAGTAACGTGCTCAGTGAACTTGGACTTGCTGCTTACTGACTGCCTCCCTCTGGAAGCTTTATTATTTCTTTTCCTGTGTGTGTGTACACATACGCATGTACACATATGTCTTTGCACAGCTGTGAGGCCAACAACCTGGTGGTGCTCCAGGAAGGAACGAGGCAGACTGATGCCGTCTGTGGTGAGTCTGAGGGAATAAGTCCTGGCAGGCATTTGGAAGGTGGGAAATGAAAGGGGAGTGCTGGCTTTCCCTGTCTGAGCCTCCTTTTTGTCAACTGTAAAATAGGTTGACTGTAGTACCTCCCTTACTAGGTGATGTGAGCACTTGGCACAGAGCCTGGCAGTTTGGAGGTCCTCTATGAATGCTGCTCTGCTGCCCCACACCTGAGGTACAGGTACCCTGTGACACTGAGCCCTGTTAGCCTCCATTTTGATATTAGAATGAGAAGCCTGGCCTACTGCACAGATCAAACTCACATAACTACAGGGGCCAGGTTGGTCACTGAATGCATTAAAAAGGTTAGGACTGGGGCTGGAGAGATGGCTCAGTGGTTAAGAGCACTGGCTGCTCTTGCAGAGGACCTGGGTTTTGTTCCCAACACATAATGACAGCTAACAACTGTCTGTACATGTACAACATGGGTGTACTTACCCAGGAAATATACCCATACACACAAAATAAATATAATAAACAAAATATTTGAAACAAAAAGGTCAGGAGTAAGAAAAGCACGTTCCTGAGCTGGGCCTGGTGTATAGACATGTTATCTCCGCTTCTTGGAAAGCGGAGGCAGCAGTTTTGCAAGTTCAAGGCTTGCCTGGGCAACTTAGTGAGGCCCTGTCTTAGAAAGTGCAAAGAGAGCTAGGGGTATAGATTGGGGGTAGAGTACTTGCTTAGTGTGCAGGAGGCCATGGGTGTAATCCCTAGTGCCACAAAGACAGAAAGAAGGGGGAGCATTCTCTTTGCCTTTAAAAAAAGACTGACTTTCCTCTTGGAGAGGCTGGGACTAGATTGGAGTGAGAGAGGCACTTGACCTCATATATAACATTTAATGGAGTGTCAGAAAAATGCAGTCACCTAGAAAAGTAACATTTTGATATGACACTAGAAAAATTAAAAACAAATGCCAAAAACTTGTGATCAACAAAATAGCAAACTTTAAAATAAAGACAGGCCAGGCATGGTGGCGCATGCCTTTAATCCCAGCACTTGTGGGGCAGAGGCAGGCGGATCTCTGTGAGTTCAAGGCCAGCCTGGTCTACATAGTGAGTTCCAGGACAGCTGGGGCTACAGGGAGACCATGTCTCAAAAAGACCAAAATAAATAAATAAATAAAATAAAATAAAATAAAGACAGGATCTGACTTTGCAGATGCATGACCCTGTCTCACTTCCTTCATGCTGATCTTGGCCCTGGCTCCAATAAAACTTTATTTGAAAACCAGGTTGCCACCTATGGGCCATTGTTAGCTCACTTGGTATCTGCCTCCTGACTTATCAGCTGGATGTGTTGGTACAGGTCTACAATCCCAGCACTCAGGAGATTGAAGCAAGAGTATCACAAGTTCAAGGCCAGTCTGGGCAACTTAGTGAGACCCTGCTTCCAAAAGGACTTACCTTGATGACCAAGATTTTTGGTGTCTCTTCAAATTTTGTGGGGGAAGTGTTTGCACCCCTTGCTTCCTGTTGGACATCTCGCCATTTGTTATTTCATTTGCCCTTTAGAATAGAGACTTAGATGCAAGAGATACTTTATTTCCCTTCTCTACATTTCCACAGTGAACATAACAATGCAGACACAGGAACTGGACTTCTGTAATCCTCAGAGAATAGGGAAGCATGCAGGTCTCACTGCCTCTCCCCATAGCTGATGACTGCCACTTGGGAAGGTGGCTCCCTGGGAGTCTAGTGTTCCCAACTGGTAAAGAAACTTGATGTCCAGATTTTTAATATTTAATATCCCAGGACTAGAGAGATGACTCAAGGGTAAGAGTATTTATTGTGCAAGCACCCATATGAAAAGATGGGTGTGGCCTCATGTGCCTGTAATCCCAGAGCTGGTGGGGGATAGAAGGAGACAGAATCACTGCAGCCTAGCTCCAGGTTCAGTGAGAGACTGTGTTTCACAGGAATAAGGCAGAAAGTGATAGATCAGGACACCTGATGTCCTCCAAATGCATATACAGAGGTGCGCACAGCTGCACACACACACACAGACACACAGACACACAGACACACACACACACACACACACACACACACGTGGAATCTCTCAGTTTAGAAACTCTGGCAGCTATTTCAAAGCATTAAAAAAAAAGGGCTGGTTCCCTAATGGCCACATTTTCCCAAAGGCCACCACTTGAAATCTCAGACCGGAAGCTCAGATACTGGAGGGTATGCATGGGGTGGGACCTGTAGGTGGGATATGCTTATGTCTTCAACTCTCCAGGTGTTCATTCCCGGATGCGAGGTCTGCTGGTGATCCCCATCGTGATGGGAGCCTTCATCACCATCCTCTTGGTGTTTGTCTCTATCAGTGAGTGCCCAGGTGGGGAAAGGGAGGGAGGGAGGGAGCTGGATCCACAGAACCAGTCACATGGTCATCCTGATCCACCCTCTCCACACCCCACCCTTTTTTTCTTCCCCTCTAGGAAAGGTGGCCAAGAAGCCAAAGGACAAGGTAAGCCAGCCCTGATGACAGAGAGCTGGAAAGAGTGACTGGTGGACCAGGAGGCAGGTTCATGTCCTACTGGGAAAAATGGTTGCTGTGTAAGCATCAGGACCTGAGTTTGGATCCCCAGCACCCATTTAACAAGCCTATAACTCCAGCGCTGTGGGGGTAGCAGGGAGGCAGGCAGATCCCTGGAGCTCACTGGCCAGCTAATCTGGCTGGAATACAGAGCTCAGGGTTCAGTGAGAAACACTGACTGAGAAAATAAAATGGAGAGCAATAGAGGAAGACCTGGTGTCTCCCTCTGGTCTCCATATGCACAGGAACAGGTGCATGAACCTGCACACGCCTGCATGCAACACACACATACACACACACATACACACACATGCATGTGCACACAGGGAAACAGGTTCAGGGTCTATCCCTGGGGCCAGTGGGATGGCAATAGGACTGGCTGTTTTCATCCCCTCCCATCCCTGTGTCCAATCTTCCCTCCTTCCTCCTACTGTTCACCTTCCCATGGGGCCGTGCTTGGCACCAATGCAGAATAACCCTGACTGTCCTTTCCTTGTCATTGGACTTGGGGGGAAGCCAGAGGGCCAGCTCCTCTTTCCCCCTGGGGCTCTGACTCTGACTCTGACTCTGACTCGGGAAGCTTTCTGTCAAATTCCATGTGGCCAGCAGGGGGCAGGAGGCATCTGAGAAATCGGCTCTCACCCTCTAGAGAAGAGGAAGGATTTAGAAGAGGGGGATCCACTCCCCAGGGATAGGCTACTGGAGGTACATTTGTCCCGCAGCTGGGGGTGATCTTACGTCTCACATCTTGGCTCCTCAGGACTTCCTGCCCAAGCGGCAGGATCCCACGGAGGTGGAGGATGTTCCTGGCCAAAACCCTGCTACTCCGGTGCAGGAGACCTTGCATGGGTGTCAGCCTGTCACCCAGGAGGATGGTAAAGAGAGCCGTATCTCAGTGCAAGAGAAACAGTGATGTAGTAGTGTGAGCTGGAGGCACCTGGTCGCAGAGCCTGGAACAGCTGTGATGGTGACATGATGGAGGTTGTCTGGCATGAATGACCGCTGAGGTTTTAGCTTTGAGAGGAGCCATAGCAAAGATGCTGAACACAGTTCACCCTTGAGAACTCTCACACCTGCCCTACCGCCATTCCATCTCCCCACTTGCTTCTGAAGGTGGAGGAAAAATTTTGGTGTGTGGGGTCCACAGCAATACCACCAGAACCCAGCAATGCAAGACCTCAGGGCTGTATCGCAGTGGCTTCCACATGCCCTAGAAGACATAGATGCAGGGGTCCATTGCTGCATGTGGAAGGCATGTGACTGCCCATCAGCAGGGAACCAGTAAAATAAAATTATATTTATACAACAGGATCTCAGAAACACTGTCAAGAGGACAAAAAGGCGGGTGTGGAATGATCATTGGAGAAACAGTTTCTAAAAGCACATACATGAGCTGGTAAGATGGCTTAGTGGATAATAGTGTTTGTCGCCAAGCTCAATGGCTTGAGTTTGATCCCTGGGATTCATACGATGGAAGAGAACCAATAACTGAGAGTTGTCCTCTGACATGTGCCCTGTGGCATGTGTTCCCATGCCCTGCATACACAAACAAATAAATAAATGTTAAAAAATAAAAGCACATACTGCAAGTTGGGCATGGCATGCCTGTGATCCCAGACAGCACTGAGGAGGATAAGGGGTTCAAGGCCAGCCTTGGCTATATAATGGATTCAAGGTCAGCCTGGGCTACATGAGATGGTCTGAAAACAGAGCAGAACTCCAAACAACCCAAACCAAAAACAAACGCACAAAATTTCCATATATCCCCAAACAGTATGATACCCTACTATGTTACTGTATTGTGTAATTATAATACTGTACAGATACCGTATGTGCAGATACAGAAGGATGCCTATGGCTAGCTATGAATGAGATAAACATTACATGTCTGGGTAAAACAAGGAGTCTCGGGAAGGATGTACTGAAAACCCACACTCGAATTGGTGATGTCTAGAGTTAGGGAGACTTGGCTTTCCCATGATGCTCCATTACTTTCCCAGTAGGAGAGTGGATCCACGTAACGCTTACATAATTAAAAAATCATCAAACATGTACAAAGAAGACCGGGGGTGGACATGCTGGGTGACATGAGCTGTTTAATTTGCTGTCAGGCTTACAGAATTAGGGCATTTTCTGAAGATAAGTAAGAATGTCCCCAGGCTGCTGTCCCTCCAGGGCAGTTTCCACGTGTGCTCACTTTTGGCAAGTTCGTCGGACTTCAGGTTCACTAAAGCAGCCTTCCAGGCTAGGCTGGCTCTGCAGCCCTCCCTTGCTTACAGGGGTAGAAACAGGCACAGAGAGATGGAATGACTTCCCAGTAGCCACACAGTGGCTCATACTTGGAGCTCCCATTCTTGATTCTGAGCTGTTCCAAGATCATCTGTCTCTCTGTGTTTCCAGGGAGATCCTGATTGTCCCTCCACCCCACCCACCCCCTTTCCCACCTTCTGACCTCCCTAAAGATCCAGTAGTTCCTGCTTCCCAGACAGAAGGTGCCCTCTCCTGCCCCCCAGCATCTCAGGATAAAAATAGACTATCCTGTTCTCTTTTCCTGCTGTGCCAACTGAGGGGGATCCTAGCCAGGAGGAGCAGCAGATGGAGTGGGAGGGGAGGGGAGGGGAGGGGAGGGGAGAAAGGCTGGAGGACTGGAGAACAAGGAGGGGAAGGAGGAGCCCTGGGAAGAAACTTGCAGATTCCCTGCATAGGCTCCCACTGAGGTTTAACCCAGGGGTCTCAGTGTGCTGTGGATTTCCCTGAGTTTCTGGCTCCTTCGAGGGTGGGGATGAAGAGGGCTGGTTCTTACAGAGGCCCAGAGGGCAGCTGGGCACCTAGAGAAGGGACCTGGCTTTGGCAGTCTTCCCAGAAGAGCTTCCAGAGCCATTTGGAGACCCAGGTGGAAGCTTGGGTTTAGAAGGCAGAGCAAAGTGGCCAAGAAGCCAAGGAACTCTGAGATCTAGTCGTCTTTCCCTGCCCAGAGCCCCAAAGTTGGTGGCACTCACTTCCATGAGGGGGTGTGATAGAAAGAGGTAAAAGGCCCGTCTGTCCGTGTCTGCCAGTTGTCCTCCGTGTGGTCTTGGGTGATCTCACCACCTCTCTGCTTCCTAGTGTTGTGGCAGGTTCTGTTGTTGTTTCTGGGTTCTCCTCTAGGTCAGAGGTTCTTCGGCTTAAACAAGCACCCAGGAAGCACTTGTGAAACTTGCTAAATGACAGATTGCTGGGCTCCATTTCTGGAGTTTCTGGAACCGAGATAAAGAATTTACATTTCAGCCAGTAGTTTCCTTTAATCCCAGCACTTGGGCAAAAGCAGGCAGATCTCCGTGAGACCGAGGCCAGCCTGTGGCTATAGGTTTCCTGTTGGCTTTGGGATGGCTTGCCTTGGGTCTTCCCTGTCCTGAAGACAAGCTTGCTATGGCTGCAGGCCAGGCCTGCCACGGCTGAGAGAGTTAGTGCTCAGGAGCATAGACTCTCAACCCCAGTCGGTTGAGACAAGATCTCATGTAGCCCAGACTAGCGAGAAACTCACTATGCAGCTGAGGATGACCTTGAACTTCTGTTATCCCAGTGCTGATTACAGGTATGTGCTACCACACTGATTTTATGTGGTGCTGGGGATCGAACAAAGGGTTTCATGCATGTTAGGCAAGCACTATACCAACTGAGTCCCCCCCACCCCCGGCCAGGCCTGAGGGGTGCCTACAATGCTTCCTGGTCTCTTCAGAGCTTCACGTGCCCACAGTGAGTGCTCTGCCCTGTTAGTTTTCATGTCAACTCCCCACCAAAGCTCCTTGGGCTCAACTCACCAACACACTGCCTGCCTTCATTTCTGTCTCATGTCTGCTTCTGGAAGTTCTCCTGAAAGTGGGCAGAGCTAAGCACAAGAAAGTGTGACTTCTGTGTCTCTTAGCATCTCTGCCAGAGGGAAGAGGTGGGCAAGCTCTGGTTCTTACGCAGCTTGGTCATGGGCTCTCTGTGGTCTTGGGAGTTACTCTTGGGTGTGTACTTCTGTCTTGGATCCTGGATAAAGGGCTGGTTCCCTAAGGGTCCTGCCAGGTCTCAAAATAGCAGAGGACCAACCTCTTCGGGGTCTACACTGATAGGCCACTGAGGGGCAGGTGTAAGGCTCACAGCAGCCGGCAGATGGCACCAATGTAACATCCAAAGATATTGGCTGTGGCTTGGTAGTTGTGAGTGAAACTGGCTTTGCTGCACAGACTGCTTTGAAGAGGAGACCTGTTTACCCTTGAAGGAGTCCCCTGCAGCCTGTCTTCCTGCTTTTCCTATTTCCCGGGACCTGTGGGGACTTGACATGCAGTTGTCACAGTTGATAGGACAGCCCCAGGGAAGGTGGGGGTCTCTTATAACATCCGTTTCACAGATGGTGCTTGGAGGGCAAATTGCTTTCCAAGGCCTCAGAGTTAGAGCTGAGATCTGGATCTGAGTTCACTCCCATCAAGACTGTGGCTGCTTGGGAGTTGGAGCTGGAGCAGAGGAGACTCTTCTAGAAGAGTTGAGGGCTGGAGACTCTGAGGGTGGAGAGAAAGGCCATATGGGTCAGGATCCTGAATGAAGAGACCACAGCCTTCCCCAGGACATGACTGCTGACTCTAGTGCAGTCCTGGAGGACTGAGGGTTGTGAGTTGCTGAGCTTCTCATGTAAATCTTCTAACATTTAAATGCTACTAATTCTGTGACAAAAAGTGAGTGCCCAAGAAAGTGCTGTGTATAAGGCTGGGATAGAAAGACTGAGAATCTCACAGTGTATAATTTGTGTGTGTTTGTGTGTATGCTTGTGTACGTGTGTGTGGTGCATGCACAAGTGCACATGCGTATGCATGTGGAGGCCAGAGGACAGCCCTGGATGTCATTCCTTAGGAACCACCCACTTTGTTTTTTTGAGACAGGAGGCCTGGAGCTTATCAAGTTTCATGAGGCCTGGAGCTCATCAAGTAGGCTAAATTGCCTGGCTAGTGAGCCCCACAGATCCACCTGTCTAGTCCTCCCCACTGCTGGGGTTACAATTGAATGGAATTGTGAGTCACCATTCCAAGGTTTGGTTTTTGTTGTTGTTTTTTGTTGTTATTGTTTTTGGTTTTTTGGGTTTTTTTTTTGTTTTTAGGTTTTTTTTTGATACAGGATCTTCCTACGGTTCCAGCTGGCTTGGAACTTGGAGACCAGAATGGCTTGGATTTCATAGAGATCTGCCTGTTTCTACTCCTGAGTGCTGGGAGTAAAGGCATGAACCACCAGGCTTGCCATTCTCAGCTTTTCAGTGCGGGTTCTGGGGACTGAACTTAGGTCTTCATGCTTATAAGGCAAGCACTTTACCAACTGAGCCATCTCCCAGGCCTTCAATGCTTTGTGTACCTGTGTGTGTGCATGTGCACTGAGGTCCTGAGAGGATCCCAAGTCAGGTCAGGTAGAATGTTCTAGGGAGGGAAGAGGTTGGACAGAGCCCCTGGGGGCTTGCGCTGTGCCCATGCAGGGTGACTTTGGCCCAGGGTATTGAAACTCAGGGGAGTCCTAGCCAGATGCAGAAGTACTCCTCATGGGCACACCCCTACACGGGCATGCCCCAGTTGTGTGCACAGACACCCTGCTGCAGCCATCCGGCCCTGCGGTAGGTTCCTTGGGCAGCAGAAGTTATTAAAGACTCTGCCCCCAAGGATTGCTCTCCCCCAGAGTGCATCTGGCATAGAAAATTACAAACCCACCTGCAGGGGTGGGGAGATGCAGCTTTAATTTTATAAATGAAAGGAAAATACAATCTTCATGCTGTGGTCTGTGGTGGAGAAATGGTTCTTGAGGGGGACTTCCTTGAGACCAGTAGTGAGGTGAAATGGGGATTCTAGGAAGGTCAGTCAGCAGCTTTTGACCCCCGAGACAATGAGATGAGGACCATTCTTTCTTCCCTCGCTCTCTTCCTTGTCGCTGGGGCTCCTGCTTCTCTCCCTGCCCACTGGCACATCCTACTGGGTCTTGGCAGCTTGGCTAGTCCCCATCCTCCTCCTCACCCCAGTCCTCCCTCCCACCCTCTGCAGGGGCTGCCTGTCCTCTTGCTCCATCCTTCCCACTTCCTGCCCACATCCTCTCCAGCTCCTCCATCTCACCCAGGTTCCTTCGAACAAGCGTTATTGTTTTGGCTAATTATAAAAGTCATAATCCTGCATCACACCCCCCTGTTCAAGCAATAAACAGGAACAGGAAAACAAGACCACCTGTAAGCCTCCCACCACCCTGCCAATCACAAGGTATGGTCCTTCTAGATTTGCCAGAAATAGTTTCTAAACTTGGGATATTATACACACT